TAATAATAAAAAGATAAATTACAATAGATTTAAGTTTTTAGTAATTATGATTTCCTAACTACCAAAATTAATTAATGCATTAATTGGCTTATAGCCAATGGGAATTATTATTATTATTTTTTAAATATGATTTGAAATTTTGTTGTCAGCTACTGATGTTGTTGTGTTGTATTATTGATGCTATTTGCATTTGGTCAAGTTAATTAAATCTTTACTTATCTCTGTATGGAGATGTTTTCTCCACTAGAGGGCGCTTTTAATCCTATTTTTTTTTTAACTGTAAATTCTTGCCATTTTCTTTTCTCTGGCATATGCCACCTGTTAATATTGTGTATATATATGCGTCCTTTTGAAGCATTTTTTAGTATCCTTGATATACTATTATAGTTTTTGTTCATATTTTAATTTACATTTTCTTTTTATGTCATTTGATTTATGGAAATTAAAAAAACAAACATGTTTGTATAGTTTTTATTAAGTTTTTAGTTTGAGTTCATTTAGTTTGAGTTATTTTAGTACTTCAAATTCAATTGTTTATGTTATATAATGGTATATATTTTATTTTAGTTATTATTTATTTTATTTCAAGTAATCAAAATGTTTTTATGGTTTAAGTTAACTATAATAACTCTGTTTTGAAAGTATAATGTTCTACAGAATTCCAATAGGTTTCTATCTAACATGCTTTCTGATGTGTTACAGTAGTGTAATGAACAAGAAGTCTACACAGGGCATACAAGTGCAACAATTTCATTCTCAGAGTAACATTTTTAGCCCTAGACAGTGGGGGCAGTTAATGAGGTGAAATGGAGCACCAGCTGGTCGTGTGTTAATGGGAAGGATCCAGATGATGTTAGGGGGACTGTGAAGAAGAAGCATGTGGTAGAACTCCAGAGCATCATCTGGACATGCAGCTTGTTCTGTGCAGATGAAGTGTAGAAGCATGCTGCAGTTGGTTGTGTAAACACATGCTACAGAACCCTTGGATATCATTAGTGTTGTATTTAAAGGAATATTTCACCCAAAAATGATAATGTTCTGATTATTTACTCACCTCCAGACCATGCAAGATGCAGATTCCATGGAAAACATTCCAGGATATTTCTTCATCTAATGCAAGTGAATGCCATTTGTAGTTGAAAAGTATAGATTAGAATTGTTTTATGTATGTATGTGTGTACGTATGCATGCATGTATGTATGTTTTTTTTTTCTTTTCCTGAAAATGACGGATTTTGTTTTCCACCAGAGAAGACCCTTATTTGTTGACAGGGGTTGTGTGGATCACTTTGAAGCAGCCTTCAATGTTGGTCTATGTTGGACCCTGTTTACTTACTCCAAAACCTTCATTTCTATTTGGCTGAAAAAAGAAAGTCATATACATCTTGGATGGTGTGGGGGTGAGTAAATAATCAGGAAATGTTCATTTTTGGGTGAACTATTCCTTTGAGTGTTAAGGGATTGTGGTACTGTAAATGCACATCAATGATACATGAACTTAAAAAGACCCCAAGCAGAATAATTGCAACAATGTTAAATGTTGATGGATTCCTGTGTTAGTAT